TAAATGCATCATATAAGTCACTTTGGAATAAATCACAGTAGGCCTATGTATCATGATAAAAAAAGCGACTTTACAGTCTGGAAATACTTTATGCTATAGCAAATTATTTCTCGGTCCCCCTATCACTTTAAGAACCGCTGGTCTACACAGAAGAAAGACCTGTCTAGACTCTGTACGAGTTGTGTTGAGCTATTCATTAGTCTGTTTGATGAGAAAAATATGAAATTGATCAAATGGGTTATCAATCCGTACAACTGCAGCAGCGGAGGACTATTATTCTGCTGCGTGATACTGCGGAAGAACTGATGAAGGCACGGTTTGATCTTCGGCTGACCAATCAGCAGAAAGGGGCGTTTAATTCCCGCCCACATGTAGAAATCGAATATTCAAGCTGCTTATTAATTTTTGCACCCATGAACGAAAAACGTAAATTTAAGCTGAATTCTCGTTTTTCGTTTTTTGGAAAAAAATGAAAAAGGAGCCATTTTCTAATTTTTCTACTTTCAATATTAAATCAAAAAACGAATGATCGAATGATACACGGATTCAAGTAGTTCATGTAGCTAAATTTACACAGTGATTGCAAAATTTGTCTCATTTTTAAACCGCCAGTAGGTGGCAGCAAGTCCCTGTTTTATGATTCACTGAATCATTCAAACAATTCATTCAAAAAGGCTGATTAAATTAGAAACGAAGCAAGTGACTATCTTTATGAATGGATAATTGAATCTTTGGCTCACTCTATTTGCTCAATAATTCAGGAAGAAACACCACAGTGTTGCCCTGCACTGTTGTATAAAATGAATAGCACATTTGCGATCGCCCACACATGCTGATATTATGCTATAATTATATAAAGAATGCTTTGTGTGATAAATATAAAAAAGTAAAACTCATACAGGGATATTTTTTCTTTCATTACTTGAATTATAGGGTCATTCTGACTGCATTCTAATAGGCTTCATCATGCAGTGAATGCTTTTGGAATGTTTTTTTTGTTTAGTTTTTTGCAAAGTCAGTGACGTATTTGATCATGTCATCTCTCAGTATCGTCTCTCTGTCTCTCAGTCACAAATACAGCACAATGATGTTATATCAAGAAAATGTCATACCTTCTGATGTCTTCTTTTTTAACAGCGTCAAAAAAGTTGCTCTTGAACCATTTTGTGAGGAAAAATAATGAAAACTTGCTTGAGCTTTTGCACAGCTCCTTCTGGCCAATCGCCATTTTTTTACATGACACACAACATTATGTAATCTAAAGGGGATGGTGGTTTTACAGAGGGGATGCTTTTTGTCAACAAGACCCCTACGCATCCCCCCCTCACTAACGTATCCTTTGTAGCGAATCAGCTCATGGGCAATATGAATAATTAACCATAACTAGTTATAATTAACTATTCATATTTTAGATCCACTGTAGATATTTAGCTGACCACTCAGGGTCAACCGTCTTGTCAATTCTAAGAACGTTAATTTCCTGGTTAAAGGAAATAACTTTCTTACTGTACAATTCTATAAGTTTGTAACGTAAATCTGCATGATTATTGACTCCGGTTATGAGTAAACAATGAACACGTCAAGTGTGATACAAGTAAGGTTTTATTAACTACATAAACACTTAAACTAGTCTAACATACGACATAAACACATTAAGCCGGTCTAACAGACACATACACACACACACACACACACATGTGCACACACACTCTCTCTCTCACACACTCTCTCTCACACACACACACACACTCACACTCACACACACACAGGTTTGTTTTTGTGAAAAGTGGGGACTCTCCATAGGCGTAATGGTTTTTATACTGTACAGACCGTATATTCTATTGCCCTACACCAACCCTACCCCTAAACCTACCCCTCACAGGAGACTTTCTGCTATTTCAGATTTTCAATACACTCCATTCTGTGTGATTTATAAGCGTTTTGAAAAGTGGGGACATGGGGTAATGTCCTGAAAAGTCACCTTCTCCTTGTAATACCTGTCATACCTTTGTCATTATACACATTTATGTCCTCATTTGTCCCACACACACACACACACACACACACACACACAGAGAGTGAATCGGAGAGCGTCTGTGAGGGTTTCTGACTCTTTGAGCTCGTCGATGGTCTTCTGTTTGTGGTTGATGTCGTCGCGCAGACGGCCGAGCTGCTTGTGCTGCGGCTCACGCTGAGCATTCGCAGATCTGTGAGACTGAAACACTTAGCATCATCAAAATACATCCGATTGCAGAATTCACTAGTTTTTCCAGCAATAAACCAAATGGTTGAGATTTAAATGTTGTGAAAATCAAAAACTACCTTCACGTTTGCAGACTCGTCAGTGTCGAGCAAATTATCCTGAGCGCTTTCTGAGAACATAGACAATAACTTTACATGTTTTTACAACTTTTAACATGAAAGCAGAAAATATAAAAATAAAATCTAATTCAAAAGCTTAAATCTTCAGCAAAGTTTGTACCATTTTGTTTATTTTATTTTGATAAAATATTTTTTTATATATTTTATCAAATAAAATAGTTATTTTTTTTTTTTATTTAATTTGATTTATTTCTTTATTTTATTTAATATAAATACACATATAAAAACAATCATTTAAAATATTTTAACAAGTTCAGACTTGTTAAAAATGAGCACTTCAGCAAAGTTTGTACCATTTTCTGTTTATTTTGTTTTGATACAACACAACTAATTAAAAAATAAAATATATCTTTATCAAATAAAATAAAATGTATATATTAAATAAAAAATATATATGAATGAATGCATACATACATATAAAAATAAACATTTGTTTTATATCCACCACTGTTGTTAAAATATTAATTTTAGAAATACAGAATGTAATTAACTAAATATAAAGATTCTGAAAGCTTGAAGGAGATCTCATAATAATTTAATTTGGCTTTTCATTAGTACCAATAAATAATATTTGGAGAATAACTATGGTTTCATTATATAAATATGATGATATATGATATATATGATCTCTAAAACAGACACCCATTATCTCAACTTATGAACATTTTTGTCTGCCACCTAGAGGTTTAGAGGGAAATAAAACAAAATGTAAAATAAAGGGGGAAAAAATCATGTGTGTTTTATGTACCTGCGGTCTGTATTTTTGTGAGTTCTTCACTCAAACAGTCGTATGTGTGTGTGCGCGTGTGTGTGTGTTTTGTACCTGCGGTCTGTAGTTTGGTGAGTTCTTCACTCAGACAGTCATAGTTGTTCTCCAGCTGCCGTTTCTTGAGCTCCATGTTCTGCATGTATTCAGTCAGAGAGCGGATCTTCGCTTCATGCTGGAAACACACAGAGAGACTTTAGCATCTGTGTGTGTGTGTGTGTGTGTGTGTGTGTGTGTGTGTGT